TCGCGGCAAAAATCGAGCCGTCTTTCATAGTCTTCAGGCTTCAGCTCGTGGAGAACGTGCATGCAGGTTGTGTCGGCGAAGAATCCGGCACACAGTGAAATCTGAAACTCCAGACAAAGTCGCCGCTCTCTTTGTGGACAGGTGCGGGTCCGTTTCGAAAGCACCCATGATCTCGTACGCGAGCTGCTGTTTTTCTGGCGTGCTGGCGAAGACGTGCTTCTTGTTCGCGACGCTGCCCACTGCGCCGAAACGCTGGACCCACTTCCAGATGGTTCTCTTTGACGGCGGCCTGGAACGCTGCACTCGACGGTATCGGCGGCGAACATCCTTAAAGCTTGTGCGCTTTAAATACCAAACCACCACGTCCGCGCGTTTTTTTTTTTTTGTTAATTGCCTTATCAGACAGGAAAGTGCAGCGAAACGCGGTAGAGATTAAAAGTAATCAACGGGAGAACTGGTGTTCGGGTTTCCAAAGAGTAAAGCAGACGACATCTGCTAAAATAATTAGCATGAAGAAATGTTATGCCTGAGCAAATGCACCGAAGTATCGCAAATTAGACCGTGTAATCTTTATTTCCGTTGCAGTGAAAAGCAGTGCGTAAGCGAAACTTCAGAAATGATAGAGAACAATTCCGAATCTGCCGCCAAGCCCGGCAGATGCCCGCGATAACCCGCCAAACCATATAGGTGGTGGCGCCACCTATGCGATGCAACGAAAAGCAGACGGCCTCCGTCTGCGTCTCTCCGTGGTCAGAGCCTCTCCGTAGAGATTTCTCATTTTTTTTCTTTTATCTTTTGATCCAGGTAAGCTCATGATCTGAAACTTTGGCATCTTGCTTGGACCGCTAGGGTTACATTTTGGCAGAGTTTGAGCGTTCTGCGATGCGTAGATTTTTTACGTGGGCCGAAAAGTAGGGTTTACTTTTCTCGATCGGACCCTGTAGTTCATTTTATATTTTATAAAATGGTCACCCATGTTTTCACCCTTTTCACCAATCAACGAGGTAGAGGGCACCAAGAGACGCTAGGGGCGCTAGGGCCTCCTTGGGTCCCTTGGGCCTAAAGCACTGAATACTAGGGGTGTCGCGAACTTTTGTCGAAACGGAGTTTTAGGTCGAACTTTCGGGTCGACAAACCTTCGAACTTTTCACCAGATTCGAGCGGTTCGACTTTGTGGACAGTGTGGTCGGACCTTGATACAAGCATGTCTAGGTGTGGGGATTTTTCTTTATGCAAAGGGTTACTTTATTTTATTAACAGTTGCAATTAAAATAAACCAGATCTAATCACTGAAGAGGTTAATAACTTGATTTTTTGTACAGTATTAACTGAAATAACGAATCAGCGCTGCCCTTGAATCATCCCTTAGCCATCACCATCCAATTCGAAGCCAACTGGTGAGCCTGTCGCGCATGCGCACACGAGTCGAACCTCAATACAAGGTTCGTCGAAATTTCCACTAAAAGTTCGAAAAAGCTGAACCTGGTCGAACTCGAACCTCGGCCGGTTCGCGACACCCCTAATTACAAACATATTAATCATTTACTTAAAAAAAACAAAGATTAACATTTTATTCGATAAAGAAGGGATATTCCATTAAGATAGCGACGTTAAATAAAAAAAGATATTGTAAAGAATTGCTTTACAAATTTTTGTTTTACGCGTCAGGCAGGCCTTGGTGTCTGAAAGAGCCGCTAGTGGCGTTGCGTTAGGTCTAGTAGCGCTGTACCTGGAGCTTCACATATTACAGGTTGCGCGGCATGTGTCGGGTCTGTTCACAGCCTTTCTGGTTCTTGTTCTTTTGAGTCTGTGGAGGCTGCTCTAGAAAAAAGATTTGGCATTCGCTAGAGTAAATGACGCGCTGTCTCCTTAGCTGTAGCGGCGCCCACTTGTTTTGGCTACATTGAGCTTGCCGCTGCTGAAGCTTCTACTCAAGTGCGACTCGACTGTTGCCGACGAGCTAATTAATGCTCGTCAGCATCTTACGCTTAGCTTATCCCGCATCGAATACGAGGCAACGAAGTTTGTCACATCGCTACTTCTGCTCAAAAAAAAAAAAAGCTGAACTTTTTCATAAATGTTTACATTGTCGGACATGGCCCGGCAAATTCAGGCGATTGATTAATTTGTTTTGTACTATCTTTACTAGGAATATTTGCAAATTTAAAATCGCTCGCTTAGAAGCGCATCCCGCATTATGCGCCCATTTGGGTCCGCAAAATTAAACATACAAACAGTCAAACACCGCTTTTTCCTTCCGGTTATTTTGAGGAAATGTTTGTTTACTGGTTTATCGAACACTCTCATCAAAAAGGGACACTCATGGATACTATCTCATTTTTCTTAGAGTTGAAATAAACGCCATATAGATTGCCTTCACAACATGGGTACATCCACTATTTTTACTGTGCAACTTTTATTCCGACATGACGGTACGCCAACGCATGCCGAGTTACAACAGTTATCGGGAGCTACTGAATGCCGGTCCAATCTCCCTCTGCCGAGCGTTACGTCAGTATCCAGCTGCATCCGATTGTCTAGTCGCTCATCGGTTCATAAAATTGGATCGGTGCATGCGGTTGGGCTCCCAGTGTGAACAGGTATTTACGTGGCTCCTGCTGACACTCTTGTAGTTCAAACGTATCTTCCTGAATGTCGGCTCCGTTCCGCATCTCCGAAGCCACGAAAAACGCCGCGTTGATTTGTTTACACGTGAGACGCTTTGCAGAGTCGTGCGGGCCGTCTCCTTTTGGCAATGATGGTAGTCGAGTTGACTTCGTAGCGATCGAGTTCGTCGACTAAAGCGGCTATCGCGCCATCGGGAGAAGTGCATTCGGGCCGGTTTAAATCGACCTTTTGTAGCGTCGACATTGCATTGCACGGACAAAAACCGAAACAAGCGATCCCGGAAGATTACCTAAAACTGAAACCAATACATAGCTTGCACGTGACGCCTGTCTGCCCCTCTTTGTGGCCAGAAGCGTCTCCTCATAACGCAACAGAAGTTACCCTCCCACGGTCCCTTTCGAAAACGAAAACCCGGCGGTGTCTTTCGTTTGTGAGCGACGGAGAGAGAGAAAAAGGTGGGAGAGGATGACGAGTGCGACGCTCCCATTGGTCCGAAGCGCTGACGTCAGCACGCGTGAAGCTCTCCCTCTCTCCCTGACGCTGACAAACTGACAGACACCGCCGGGTTTTCGTCATATTGAGCCCTTTCGTTTTTGGCTAAGTCAAGCGCACAGCTGATGGGGAGCCTGTGAGAAGGAGGGGCCGCGCAACACCTTGTAGAAAGCAAAGCCATAGTGCTTAATGAGATGGCGTAATCGGAGAATGCCAATGCTGGACACAGATAGGAAATGAGCGCTCCGTCAGCGCTTGGATTCGAGTCAAGTTTGAGCCAAACATTGATGCATTCGTCTTTTCTAATCTGTGCCCAGCGTTGACCTTCTCTGATGACGCCATCTCATGCAGCACTACGGCTTCGTTATCTAGGAGGTGCTGCGCCGCGGCGCGGTGCTATGCGGGCGTGGTCAGTTGCTGCTTTGCCGTCGCCGGTTCTGCTTAACTCCGGGCTTTCGTATAGAAGTGCGTGGTCTGTGATGTGTGTGTGTGTAGTTAAAACAATGAACGCGGTTCCCTCCACTAGTGATAGGCATGCGGTTTCTTTCCACGAGTGGTATGGATGTGGTTCTTTCCAAGAGTGATGTGTATGACCGTATCCAAGACTCCAAGGGCGTCGACATACTCTTGCAGGCAGAGTACAGAAGGGTGAAACAAGTTACAGCAAGATTTATTGGTGGTATTTTAGAGAGTCCGCGACCTTCGGGAAACGACACACACGTCTCCCCTTCGGAAAACGCTAACATTGTACCTGTGCTTCAGCTAAAATTAGCCTTGCACCGAAGTGAATAAAGGTTCTTGTAATTAGCGTAGCAACACCCTACTTTCGAAGAACATCAATAGTTTACGCTTTACGGCAATTAACGTTAATTGTTGTACTAATGTAAACTACCATTTTCTGAACAGCCAAGGCAAGCGCAATATGAACAACATCCAGAATTGGAGAAGAGTTCACGAAATGACTTACTCAAGAACTAATCGGTCTTTTAATTTTCTAAATAAATGCATTTATATTGGATAAAGATACGGCATTCATATAAAGGTAAAGACTCTTGCACTTCATATTTTATCGCAGTGACTCTACTAAATTCAGTAACTTCAGTACCGCGTTTAACTGAAAACCAAATGACAGGAGACATTAGGGAAACTTAGCTGAGTTCTAGATAAAATAAGTTAGGGGATGTAAAAGTGTTATTTTTGCTCCTTGCTACAACATGCAGTTGATAAGAGCAGTAACCTTTTGTTTGTACATTTTATCATTGTAGGCCAGGAGATTATGCTCCGTACCCACAGTCTTCCAAATATTATATATTAAAAAAGTAGCTGAGCAACTTATCGAGCCTTTTAATATGTAAGGTTAATGTTTGCGATCTGGGGACTCGGTGTGCCGCAGTTGGAAACCGTTTTATATCTATGGCAGTTGTAGTTACATAAAAGCAAGGTACACCAATTGCTTAAGATGTTTTAAAGGAATTGTTACATATATAGTACAAAAATTGGAGGCACATTAACATACCCACACCAACGTGTGTTCTATCTCTTCATATCATTGGTTGATTTCGGTTGCTGCTGCGAGTTTACGCCCTTCAGCGACGTATAGAGTCAGCCGGGAGTTTGTTATTGACGGTTTTGGCACTCCGTCATTAGCGTTTGGGGTTAGCTCGTGGAGTGTGGCTGGGAAGAGTATAGCGATAATTAACGTACAGTTTTATGCAACACGATGCGCACAAAATGAAACCACTTGATTTTTAGTAAAATAATTCTCATACAACTTCATGAGCAAGAAAAAGCCACGTTTGAAGTACTGAAGTGAAACTATTAGCGTATTGCATGGGCGAACAAATGTTAAATTATCAAGAACATCTTGCATGAACCAAAACTAAAATATTTATGCTTTTATTTTGTATATTTTTAACCCTATAGGGCTATGACATGTGTACAAAATATATCACTTCACACAATGACGATTAGGGTGTTTTAATAGTCACAAGTGCACAACAAACTAGAATCACATAACATGATGCAAAACAGGGTCTCGACGTTGTCGAGTGCTAACAAAGTCAATAATCTTATTTATACAACATATACAAGTCATGAAATCGCTTCAAGGCATCGGTCTTTCGTAAAATGTTGCCACTCACAAATAACTTTGCAATAACAACCTTGGTAGAAGTACACATGTAATGTGATATTATATATCGATGATTTCGGTAATGTTCGTTTCGAATCATCTTGCAACTTCTGAGAAATTCAAATAGTAATGTTAATTCTAACCCTTGACAACGCCTGCAGGAAATTTGATCCCTCATGTTTTTGACAATTCCGACCAGTTTTATACATTCTAAAACATTCCTATGCCCGCTTTCACCTCAAGAAAGAAGCCAGTTTTACGCATTTTTCAAATGTCATATGCGGCACCAAGAAGTTGTTACGACATTTGGCTGTAGAAGAAAAAAGCGATGCTCTTCGCGTTTGGAACGTGGACATCTTGATAAGATAACATATATCTAGTCTAAAATTCACCTAGATATATCTTAATTGTTCAAATAAAGGAGTAAATTAGTAGTGCTCTGCAAATCCCCGACATTTTTTTTTTAACTTCGGTTCTTGAAGTGAAAACGGGTATAGACCTTTCTTAATGACTTTAAAAAAAGAAAGAAAACAAGAAAAACAACTATAACAAGGTAAAACTTCAAGAATGAAAAAAAAAACCGCCAACAAGCAGATCTGAAAAACGAGCAGAAAGAAGCTGAAGTAGAAAAATATAAGTGAGAGCACACTCTTTGATAAAGATAAAATGCCAGTTGTGACGGTGAGAATAAAAATGACCAAACAAAGATATACAAAAAAGTCACAGTCTTAAAAGAATGTTTAAAATGCAAATAAAAAAAAAACTATGTTGATTGGCTCCGGAACATGGCAGTTGTTTCGGGAAGATGCAAGTCGACAATAAGGCACTTGATGGAGGGATACTGCGATATCGCTAAAAGGAACGTGAACCAAATGAACGATTGTGATAACAAATCGATCAACATCGGGTAGTTGCCTTCATGGGTTTTCCGCGAGATATGATGATTCTCACATTCTCACTTATCAAATGGCCTGACTCCAGTGATGATAAGGCATGATAACAGTTATTTGTAGCATTTTTCTCTCTAGACTCGTACCTGACAAATTTGTTTTTTCTTTGTGTCCCGAGCTGTAGTTTTCCACATACTGAGTGTCTGGTTCTATGCCTTTATCCAAACCTCGCTTGACACATTCACCCTAAACAATGAAAGCAGATAATGCCAAAAGTTCGCCTCCTGATAGGCACTGTGTATGTTTATACTTTACAAATCTTTTTTTTAAGCCGTCAAAGCAACATAAACGCGGTCTTCACAGGTGAGTTATACGTATGGTCAATGAAACATAATAGGAGGTTAATCATCACAGTGACAACTAATTAACTAGTATTTTATTGATCAAATTTTTAATTAGTAAAGAAAAACAAATGGTTCTAACTACAAACTTGCTGAGCGCCATCGAATCCTACTGAATCAGTAAACTTTAGAATGTCTTAAAGAGCGGAGGAAGCACCGTGGTGCAATAAAGTTACTAGTCGTGTAACAGGCGCAAGGCTCTGGGTGTAAAAACGCGCCCTCGCGGGTTCTTTCTCTTACCTCACGCGTTTCCGCAACGTCAGCTTTGCACCTGTTGCACAGTGGTAACTATAGCGCACTATCGTGCTTTCCAAGTGCTTTATAAATTTGTAAAATTTACCGACTTCAGTGATTTTCAACGACTCTCAGCAAGCTTCTGTTTAATACCACATAAACATTTTCACAAATAGAAAAAAATTAACAATTTATAGTTAATTAGTCGTCGTATAGTGTCAAATTAGCTTTTGTCCCCTGGCCATATAACTCACCCGCACAGACCGCATTAGCGTAGCTTTCACAGCTTTTTTTAAAACAAATCTGTATATCCTAAAACAACACCCTGCACACTTCTACTTTTTTTTCACACGGACGGAAGAGACATGAAAGCAAATTCCACCATTTTTAGAGGAGCAAAAAAAAAATGTACCAAGCACTGATTATCATTTGGCTTTCGTTGCTCGAGCCAGCCGAAGCCATCTTACACTCTCTCAAAAGATCGAATGTCAGCGCTAAGGAATAGAGGCGAAAGTAAACAGACTGACTTTTAGAGCCTCTTGGCAAACTCGATTCTTAAGCCAAACTAGAATAACACCCTTTTACCCAAGGAAGCCACTTGGAGTTGTAAAGATTTTGAATTACCAGGTGATGAACATGCAAGTTGAGAGCGATGCGAGCAGTCATAGTTTACTTTAAAGACGCATCCCTCTAGTGAGATCAAAGTGAGATTACATATACCTTTTTTTTATATCTTAAGATGCCCGCTCACTTGAAATAAAATACGATATGAACATGCGTTTACACTGTAGATGATGAGAATGCAATGCAATATCACAGCTAAGGCCGCCATTGTAATCAATAGTCTTCGTCTCTCTGGTACGAAGGATTGACTTGGCCGCTGATGTTGTAAGGTAACGTCACGGATGCATTGTTGCGCTTGTTAAATTTCCACTCTTTCCACTCCTTAAAGACTTTTGGGTCCCTCGGACCGTACGAGGGAGTCGGAGAGAACGTTGTTTTCAGTTTCTGCAATAAAAAAAAAAACAACGAAGAAATGCATTAGAACCACCAAGAACACTATTGCGTGTGTCCCTACGATCGGGAAGGAAAGAGAAAATAAAAATAAAGACTATGTATCCTTATTTCCCTTCCCCAATCAAGTCACGAACACCATTGCACTTTAAGAGCAACCTGCCTATGTATTCGTTATGCGGAATGCACAAATAACAGCACAAAAATAAGATAAAAAAAGAAAACTCTTAGTAGTACTGTTACATCTACGCAATATGACCTCAGGCGGTCTTACAAGGGCGACATACATCCTTCGGGGTTGCTTTTCTTTCGAAAGCCTGTAACCTTTAAAAAGAAGTTCCGGCTAACAGAGAGCTCTGCCGTGAAGTGGTTTCTAAGAGATAGGGCTGAGAATAAACAAACCGACACGCATGGCGGGAAACGCTTGTAGTATTCGCGATTTCTAAACGCTGTATTTTAGAATCATTTAATTTGGTACCTTTTCATGAAAAGGTTTTACCGTTCGTACTGTAGTGACACAACGAGATATCACATAACATGATAAATATCTGTGTGTGATCTCTTCCGGAGTTTACGAGTTTTCGCTAAGGTACGAGCAACATTAAACGATGACGTCAGCCTATGCAGCAAAAAAATGGGAGCTCTGGATTTTTTTTTTTTTGCCTTGGGTTTGGTATGTTAGGTGTTGCTTTTTGTAAATATGTTTTGCGACACCCAATTCTCGATTCCATTAGTGTAGTAGATCATGGGGTGCTCGGTCACATCGTAAAAGCATGTCACCTTTCAACAGGTGATATGTTTTTCATTTGCTCGAACAAATGCCATGTTTATAGGCAAATAGTTCCGTCGCCGGCTAATAAAGAAAGTTCTCAGCATTTTTGCCTTTGTCTTCGAAATATATATAAACTATAAAATATTTTAAATTCCACGTTATTTACATCTTTTTTTTTTCACAATGAACCAACATCACATCTAAACTACGTAACACGGAAAATAACGCTTTGAATAGCTTAAATCATGAACGCCACACTGGCACCTCCGTAAATGCACTCATACCTCAAGTATGTCTGAGCCTTTTGCGTTGATGAAGGTGATGGTCATCCAAAGTACTATCTGGCCGACAGCAATGCCGGCCATAATCCAACCGATTGTCTGACCAATTGGAGGCAAACTGGACGATCCGCCTTCGGTTGCAGTACCGTAGATGAAGATTGACTGACAGAAAGAACAAATAATTTAGAAACCGTTTTAATGGCAAAGCTTGAGCTCAGTTGCTAAAGCCCCGTGGTTTACCAACGGCGTGGGCAACTTCTTGTAACCTGAACAAGCGGGCAGTGGAATCCCCTTTGTCCTCGTGCTATAGACGTTTGCAAGTACGGCGTCTGGGCGCCGGCCATCTTGCTGCTGTTGTGGGTAGATCGTCTGATAGTGGAGCATTGCTGAGGCGTACCCACGACCTCAGCAATGCTCGACCATCAGACGATCTTCCCACACCACCAACAAGATGGCGGCGCCCACAGGTCGCATTTGCAAACGTCTATACAAATATATGTTTCTGAATAACATTTAACCTTTTTTTGTAAGTGCCTTAATAGACATACCAATTTTAGTCAAACAGCCCTGCACGCTACATAAGACATGCGGTTCTGTATATCCGCACAAAAACGAGTGGTAGCTATACGCAGATTGTTGAATACGCAGATTGTTGAACGAGTACGCAAGATTAAAGTTTAATGCAAATACGATTTTATTTGCCCAACACCAAATAGGAGTGAGCTCAGGTTGTGAAATTAATTGAGCTTTTCTTTTTATTTAAGAAAACAAAATATCGTAACAGCGATGTCGCTGCACGAAACTACTTCCACTAGAAGAAGAAAAAAAGAAAGAAAGGAAGATAACCCGCGGCTTTACGAATTCGTTTTAATCCTTGTTTTTGCTTTATAAGAACCACTGCAAAAGGGTTTGCTTACAATGAGAGAAACTGGAGTAATGAATCCCCAGGTAATCTTCCAGTACCAAGAGACTTTCTTGTTGAGCATGTACTCAAAATCTTCAATTATATTTCTGAAGCCTGAAAAACAATAATCATGGATGAGAACGTGAGTATTCCGAATGGTCGCAACAAGGTCTAAAAAAGAAGGGCCGTGATGCCATGGATGCCCTTCGCCAAGTAGGAAATTTCCATACATCGTTGTTAGGTTGATAATGGGTTTCGCTTCTGGGTTCAGCGTTTTCACCGAAGCATAGATAAGAGTGTCGCAGTCAGCTTTTCTTTGACATAAACAAGTTCACCTTAAACCCAGTGCAGAACGTGTAAGAGATAACTAGTTTCTACTGCTAAAAATATACAAATTTGTATTATGTCAAGGCTATATTGAAATTAAAATATCTGCTTACCATAAATCCAGACGAATCCCACAACTTGCAAAGTACCGTAAATAAATAACGCCCGGCCAACACCGTAGTTGTCGAAGAGCAGCCTAATGGCGTTTCCACTCTAGAAGAGAAATTGCATTTTCAATTTAAATATTTAGCTTGCGTTTCATAAACATATCTGACATATCTGTGCTAGTTTGATTGGTTGTGCTGCATACGAGGACCTTGGTCATATAAAATTGAGGGAATGCGTTATCGGCAAGACTCCTTAAGCCTGATTCATCGTAGCGATTCGGACAGTGCCACGAAACGAAATTCCGAAAAAAAGAATTAATGAAAAGAACTCGAGGAAGAAAACGAGAAAGGACGGACAACCGCAAGCTTTCTCGTTTTCTTCCTCAAGTTTAATTATTCCTACCAACCCGCTCGTTTTGTCCTTTAGTGAATGAGCGTTTAGACAATCTTGTCAATAACTTACTTTTGTGAGAACCGAAATGTTATCAGGAACAGAATAAAAACGTACAAATCAAAATAAGTTGATTTGCGTTAGCACTCAAGCTACCTTATTTTAGCATAGCAAAATGGAAGGAGTAAACAGGGTCATTTTTTGGTCCGTCCAGAATTTAAAAATAAATGAATTTACTTGAGCGTAATTCTAACCCTTGTGTTAAGTTGGAAATATAAAGGCCATTAGAAAAAGATGAAATGGGTTATTAGTAAACAAATGACCTAAAACATCTTAAATAAATTTATAATTTATGCTTTCTTGGGGAAAAACGTAGTAGGAGAACTGATGCTCCATCTCAATACAGTCGCGCCGGGAGGTAAAATTTCGATTAAAAAATTCGTATCGCGGAGTGAGAAATGCCACCCTTGTACACGGTTTCAGACCGAAACTACACTGTCAAACAGCGGTGCTATTGCAGCCAGGCTCGATTTGCGAAACCCGCCGAAGGTCGAGAGGTTGTATCAATGGCGCTATATGCCCTTTTACCTTCTGTTTGAAGAAGTGTAAAAGGTGGACATCCTTCGCTCCGTGGTGCCAAAGACGAATTTATTTATCAACATTTCACTGCGCGTGTGGACCTATTTAGGTCAACCGTCAATTCTGCGAATGCATTATTCCACCCGTTCTCCCCCAAGGAAAAAGAAAACGAAAATTGGGTGAAACGTTTCAGTTTATAAGCTAATTAACTAAATTCCCCTCTTTGGAGAGCCATGATTTACTATTCAAACTTGAAATTTTAAATTTTAACTTGCTCGCAATACATATGTGTTAAAAATATTAACTACATAATCGTCTCCTTCATAGCACTCTATGATGGTTTAAGAAACTATACACCAACTTATTATATTTTTAATATTTGTTTATTTGAAATTAATCTTACCCCTCTCTTGAGAGCCATTACAAGAAGTGTCTAAGTGGCTAAAATATGTGCAAGAATGCAAGAAAAACAGAGTTTGAGTCTCAGCCGGCTTAACTTTGTATGACTAAAACACAACCCGTAAAAAAAAGCTGAAGATTTATCAATCAGCAGAAACTAATGTGAATGAAGTACTCACGTCAGTGCACAAGACAAGGCCAGTGCCAAATGAAATTACACAGAAAAGTATAGAGATATGGCTCTTCCACTTGCTCCATCCCGGATATTGGTCCGTGAGCACTGTGGTTACCAACTGCACACCTCCAACCTAGAAGACAAAAACAAAAAAGGGAACTCTATTTATGATTTCTATTAAGTTGTGTTTTCAAGGGTGAAGCGAGTCCTAATGAAATTAGCTGGTTTAGGATGTCGCCTTGAGGGATAACACGCTAAATAAGATGATAACATTTATAACTGTCGAACATTGCTTTTGCTGAAACTATTCCAGAGACCTCAATATTATCATGTATGATAATAATGAGGTCTATGAAAGTCTATAAGGTCTGGAATTAATTCCGTACCTTATAGAAGTCCTGCTCTTGGACTTTTACTAATTTAACGGAAACTCTTCATTTGTGAAGTAAATACGCTTAAAAATGTTTGAGAGTAGCCTTTGACTAAATAGAGGTCTGAACGCTTACTATAGTTTGTTTTGTCATAAATCCTAGCGCAATCAAGCGCTAGGAGTGCTCAGGCATGAACAGATATGCTAAATTCAAAAACCATATATGTACAACCCATTTTCAGCTCTAGATTGTTTTAGATATTGATAGATAGGAGCACAGAGGAACACAAAAAGGTAGCAGACGCCGTGATGTTGCACTTTTTAGACTGCTTGACTTACTCTAACAGCTCGTAATGTCCGCTGCACTTTGAGTTGAAACAAAACGAAGTATAATAAATATTGATACGAGGTAGCACATAATTGATTTTGAATACGAAACTGTCATGCATGTACATTACGGGATTATTCTCTGTAGATGGCTTCTTCCCACGTGATAGAAATAAAATATTCTACCATGCCGGCAAGAACGAAGTGCACCAAAAGCTCGACGAAAAGTCACTTCATGTAATTTATAGTTATTTCTGAAAAATGTAGTTCGCATATTTTACATACTGTTCTATGCAACTTATTGCCAATAACATAACTTATTGCGTACTATTTCTCTTAGATGATCTTAATGCACTCCAATGCTACTTACACCACTTCCCAGTCCAAGCATGAAAAGCATGATGAAGAACATCACCGACCAAAACTGCGGAATGAACGAAATCCGACTGAGAGCCTCTGGGTAAGTTACAAAGGCCAGGCCGAGATCTGCAATAAAAAAACGTATAAAACGACTAAGAAAACAATATCCAGCGCTTAGATATCCAAAGTTGAAGGCTTGGGTTCCTTTCGTACTACCTAACGCTATCTGCATGTCAACCACGCGATGTGAACGTTTCGTCTAACTTCATATATTTTGTTAACTGACTATAGGAAGTACGCAGTCATCAGAGTGGTTTTTCGTGTCATTTACAAATTAAACCTAAACTGAACTTAATATTCTACGTTAACAACCATAATAGAGCGTTATTATGGCACAAAAGCTTTGTAACCATGAAAGTCTGCACGTTAACACCGATAGTCTAGACAAGTATCATACGGTATTTACTGAAGACCCCAGGTTAGCGATGGTACCGCTCTGGCTAAATTGCTCATCTACAGCCGAGACACCAGACGCCCATTGGGGATGTATAAACATACAGACAACACATATTACATCTCGAAAGTCTGGCGTTTTTTATAATGGACCTTTGTTGACACCTAAATACGGTGCCTTGTTCTTAGTATCAAATAAAATCGGGAGAAACAATTGACATAAACCTGAGATTTTTATTTCGTTAAGTAAATCGTTTTCGAAAGAACGTTAGTTATCAAGCTTGAGTAAACGTGCCAAATTTTTATAATTATATTATCCTGTATGGTTTTGTGTAATTGTAGTAATATGGCAACAGTAATATTAATAACATATTTCTTCCCAAACACCACAAGCAGAGACCTGCTACGCCGTTTTAACGCTCGGCATTGGACCATCTGAATAGTTCGAGCCTAATTGTTCACCTGATTCTCCTTTTAAAACCTGGGATATGTCATCGGTTCCCAGCTCATGGGCCAACGACCCCAGTGTGCCGAATACCACGCAGCCAGCGAGGACGCTTGTAATGGTGTCCGCGATACTGATGAGAAAAGCGTCTCTGGAACGGTGAAAATTAGATCGTAACAATATGAACGCTTCACGGCAAATATTTAGAAAAATAGTATACTGTATATTGAGGGACACGTATGCATACACGTTAACATACGCTTATACATAGATGATACGTAGATGATACAGAGCACGTACGCGTAGATGATAGTCACTGACAGCTGAAGAAACGTCGAATGTGGCTAGTAATGTTTCTGCTTCCTGCTTCGTGATTCGTTCTTCGGCGTTTTTATCGGCTAATGACGCAATCCCATTGGCCACGGAGCGAGATGCTCTAGACTAAGCGTGCCTTGCGTTTTTTGTGCTGTCAGTGACTATGGCTATTAGAGAAGATATAGAGGGTGTCCCAAGAGGACCTTCAGCTGTAAAACGAGCCGGAAAATTACAGCCTGCACATACGAAGCTCAGACTTTCGCTGAATTTTCACTGAGCAGGCTAGTTTGACCCTGTGAAATTTCAAGGTGTTTTCCTTTCTCTGTAAAACAAAAATGAGAGCAAGCACCTTGCCGAAGTCAAGGTTGGCCACGTTCGCAGACGACCAAGTTACCGACACATTTACTTGTGGCGCCATCTGTCGATAGACGCAGCGAGCAGACAACAGAGTGTGTCGCTCTATGCGCCTGTCGGGAGATGGCGCCACAAATAACTCGATCGTCTGCAAACGCGTCCAACCTTGACCTTGGGAAGTCATTTTCCCTTTTTTTTGCACAAGAAGAGAATTGTACCCTGGAATTTCCCATGGTAATACTTAAATGCTCGGTGCACATTCGGTGAAAGCTTTCAATGTGCGGGGACGATTTTTCCGGCTCATTTTACTGTGGAAGGTCCGTTTGGCTGGCCGGGGCACCCTATATTTGACGTATTTAGCATATGAACCAGAAGTAATGTGCTCTTGCTGTTAAAAAAACAAATTCTGAGCAGGTATTTACGTTCCCAGGTTTAATCTATCAAAAAATAATTGTTTAACAACAAATAGGATGTACTGCAGCATATGTGAGCAAAAACAGGAATATCGAGGCGGTTTCACATTGGTGTCTTAACGTTTGGCGTTGATCTTTCAAGTTCATCGCCTTATAGTTGGTGGTTTCAGCTTGCATGTTATTGCACTTATTGTTTTGAAAAAAAATAATTCGACCACGGGAAAAAAAATACAAGAAGAAAAAAACTTGGTTACCGCTACTTTGCACTAACTCTACTTAACATAAATATTTCGCTGCCTTAATGTAAGAACGTTTAATTGACTATTAAAATATATGTTTCTAGATCGCTCACCTTCCCACGTTGTGTTTAAAATCGTTGAAGCTAGAGTACATGACTAGGTAACCGAACCCGATTCCCAGAGAGAAGAACGACTGCTCGCAGGCTTTGAACCACACCTGGCAAAAGAAAACGAAAGACAAAAAATAACATTTTGTAGATCTTATTTTTATATTTTCAGTAATCGTAGTGGACAGGAAGCAGTTAGGATTTTAGTTGCACACATGTTAACTACACGTTTGTTGTGTAATCTTAGCCGCCTAAAATATAAATTTGTCAAGCCTAGCACGAGCGAGTGTCCTATAACCTATTTGTGTTATTTTAAAGATGCGACTCATTTTCTTTCGAGTTAGCAGAAATTTGGGACCAATTCTGGCAGTGTGGCACTCAATTGAGGCCAGTTTATCATTTTATCTCCTTCAATTCCCATAGATGAACTTCCAGCAGTATGTTGGTTTAAAAAAGGAAGGTAGTCATTAATTTCATACTATACACTGCATCTTCTTTGTTAGACATTGTGGTGCCGTATATAAACACGGAATATTCTTTTTGTGGTTCATGTCGCTCATATTTTTCCTTGCACTATAATTTATTTTAAATTGAAAATGGCTGTGTTTGTGATGCAGTGTTTAGAAACGTATAGAAATTATGTTGTGCATTTAGAAGTGTAAATATATGTACAAGTTCATACTTCATATTGCATTACATAACTTCAATAATGTCTACTTCAACCCGGTTTAAAAAACAAAATGCAATAAGAATAGCTTACCTCGATGTCAAGAATTTTTTCCCACTGGGGCACGAAGAAAGCTTTAATACCGGTAAAGGCTCCATCTTGAAGACATGTGATCACCAGCAGTGATACCAAGACCACATATGGAAATGTAGATGTAACGTAGACAACCTTGGGGTAACACAAAGTAAAAACAAAGAAAAAAAAAAAAAATTCACGAATGTCACATTGAGCAACAAAACCTAAAACTTGCAAATTCGGTTTTCGAAGGCTGGTTCGGGGAACTCAAGGTCACAGAATTGTAAACACTTTGAGGAACGGTATTTGTGCAGTATACTGAGAAAGTTATGGGTTGGTATCTAAATAATAAAATTCAAGGGTCTGTTTCTTTTGATATAATATAGTCTAATGCAATTTAAAGCATTTTGTTGTCATAGGCTCATTTGCCACGAGCGATCTTTAAAGGATAACAGTGCGCATGACTCTTGTTTTCTTTATAGGTAAACGCATTCAACATCTTGAAGGACCCCGAGACTTACCTTGCCAATCGAATCAACACCTTTGATGGTTGAGAGGGCTTCACAAACCCAAGCCAAGAGCAAGCATAGCGCCATTCGCCAGTCCAAAGCTGATGGCAAAGTGAAGCCACCCGAATTCTTCAGGACGTACTTTCTGAAAGGAGAAATGTTTACTCAGACTCGCTCCATGTCTGCACAATACACAATTTGTTTCTGACAGCGGGTTTGAGGTTTAAAGTTCAAATTTATCGCAGATACTTATAGGGTCAGTTAAACCGTTCATAAAGTGTTTCTGGCTTCAATAATGTAAACTGATGTTGCTTTTTAAGTAGAGGGATGCGTCGCTCCGCAAGCTTTTTGTCTAGAGACACATATGCCTCATTGCAACACAATACTTACTGAAAGTACTGCTCTGCTGACGACGTGACGTTGGCGGTGTATTCCATCGTCGAATTTTCCTGTAAAAATGAAATCGCAGCCCTAACGCAACATTTTCCAAATTGTTTGTAAATCTTTCGTGCTTGAGTTTATGTTCTAGCTGGATGATTGTATATTGGCGAGACCAATTGTTTAAGTAGTTGTAAACAAACTTTATATATGCCTTTCAGCAATTTCGCTCGTATTCATGAGCAGATGGTAGACTCCCCACATCGAGTTGACATATTCACTTAACTGACGTAAAACAAAAAAAAAAACAAAAAAACAACAACTAAACATTACCCAGCTTTATTCGCCATTTATTGAGCCCGTCTGATGATGACTCGACCTAACTGGCTAATCGTCAGTGTTCGGATACAGTAAATGATGTACACAACGTTACAAAATATTTACAGGGTTTCTTTTACCACAAAATACACCATACATCGCCGAACGCTAGCTTTCCGTCCCAATGTAGCACCAGCGGTCGGAACCAGACGCCGAAGTTTCAGAACTAGTCGTTATGTTTTCAAAAGTTATGTGATTTTTTTTAAATTTTTAATTTGGATGATGGCCGCAGACAAAGCATGTAAGATGAAGACGACACAACCACATCTTCCAACAAGCAACGGAGATATAAAAATTGCTTCTGAATTGAGCGTTTTTTAGTAAAAAACCCCCAAAACTTAACTTTTTTTTATTTAGAGGGGGGGGGGGGGGAGGCGCACGTTTACTTATTGATATATTGACGTGTTTCTTACCCAATTATTCAAAACTAAAGTAAACAAGAAATATAGAGTTGATGAGTTTATGTTTGAACTTTTGTGAAATGAGCTACAACTGTTTTGAATTTGATAATAAATAGCTCGGAGGAGCTAGGTTTTGTTAACATTTTGGTTCCAAAACACGAGTAACACAATTCGCAAATTGTGACCGTGATATGCTAATTGTAGAGTTCATAATTTGATTTCACCTTACGCTTCATCGATGCGGCCATCCCAAACTGATATTTCGAAAGTTCAAGACATGGATTAATTCCAATGGTTTTGTAGAATGTCTTTGGTGCTCACGTCTTTATAATATGTCTCTGTATAAACTTAAAATACAGTTTTTTTCTTGTTCTTTTTTTTTGGGGGGGGGGGGGGGGTTCAGTAGCTTGAAAAAAAATCCACTACAAACGCCTTGAGAAAAATAGCCCAGTTTAACCTATAAAGAACTAAACCCATAGCTTTAGTTATATTTGAAGAAACCTGATGAAAAGCATTCATTCTAAAAATTTTTTTTTGTTTTGTTTTGATGATAACGGTCTGACAAGGTGTCAGCAAATTTTACGCCTTAAAATAAAGTGTATATGATATGCATGAAATACGTTTCGGATAAAAATATGTGTCAGTTTCAGCAATGCGCAACCATAATCTGTGGAACTGCCACTGGGCCATTTATTTCGCGCTTGGTGTAATCCACGTAGACCTGATTTATTTTCATTCTATAATTTCTAATTTTAGGAAAAAAACTAGGAATATAACAAAATGCACGTACTCTTTAAATTGTAATTCTCGACGTTGTATATTAAGATAAACATTCAGAAACGTGTATAATTTCAAAGATGCAATTAAAATTTCTTCAGAATATTACAAAAAAGGTTCGTTTTTTCCAACCCCATTCCAGGAGCACGCACCAGGTCGTTGTCGTAGCAGGTTTCGTCGCTCCATTCGGTGTCACAATAAGTCCAGGGAAGGACGCTTTGCATGGACGCGAACATGTAGAACAGGCACAGAGCCATGATGTAGTTGTAAGAGACCAACGTGTAAAATGTCGAAAATATCTGAGCAATGCCGATACCTACAAAATAAAAAAGCCAACTTTTAGCCAAATTACGAATTCTCATAAAGAACAACTTTCGGTTAATGAATTGGTTAATGCATTCGGAGCGAAGTGGTAATCAATTTTCAACTTAGTCTCGGCAAAACTTTTTTCTGTAAGCAAACTGGAGTGATCTAGTTTGTTCTCAGCTTGAAGTCTTATGGCATTGTATTCAGCGTATATGCTCGAAACCTAAGAATCCCCGTTATTTCATACACCGATTGCTCCAAAAACCGATAAGCTAAAAAAAAAAAAAAAAAAACTTGGTAGTACAGCGACGCGATTTTCGCATTACGTCTTTAGTCTGATGTATCAGAAGCCTTATAAATCTGTATGAAAAGGACACGAATTGAAATGCGCAGTTTAAGACAGCCGCCGCTTTGTGAACTCTACGGCGTAGAAATAGGTGAAACATAAAATGAAACAAATGCAACGGCACACGAAACAATGTAATTTTATAATGAGCCGGAAAGTGCAAAAATTAAGTTTATTAATGGAAATTTAGCAAGACGCCAATGTAGTCAAGAACATATCAGACTATTTTCCGGAAAGGGAATTCGCAAAACTACGTCTTCCTTAATAATGTTAGTTTTAATGTTTTTTTTTTTACTTTTTTAAATCTAGGTTTAATGAATCATTTGAATTGCATTTACTGGTTCCCGTATGAAATACATACGAAAGGAATTCATACCTCTAAAACCAGGAACACACTTCCAAATCTTGAGGGGACTTTTGCCCACAAACTGCCCAATAGCAAGTTCAAGGAAGTACATTGGCTTTCCAATGAGGAATAATACCACAAAGTAAGGAATAAGAAAAGCACCTGAAAAACAAAACAAAAATGCATTAGACATTCTGTTTGTATGTAACAAATATCCGGTATTTTCATATACCTCAGCGAAATTAAAAAGAAAGGTAGAAGAAAGTTAGTGAGATCACTATTTAAACGGAGATAGGTTAGCCTGAACGCACAGCTCAGACTAAACTATAATTTTAAAAAAAGTCACTAAATTGTTACTGACAATAATAAAAACGCTATTGAACTATAAAAACCTTGAAAGAAAACACAAAGAAAAAGAAGGAGAATCACAGTGTTGGAGTAGCGGAATGTACTGCAAGAGAAAGGGTTAAATGAACTTGGCTCTGAGATGACGCGCATCTAGTCACCTTATACCAGACATAGAGGGAGAAAGATAAGTGATACTTACCTCCTCCATTTTGGTATGCGAGAGTGGGAAACCTCCATACGTTGCCCAAGCCAATAGAAATAGATAGACACGAAAGGAAAAACTGTAGCCCTTGGCCCCATTGAGTACGTGAGTCATCCGTCTGGCCCTCATCTTTCTGCGCAGATGTAAAGGAAGCAAACAAGATGGACGGGAATCAAGTTGCTGCAGCAGAGCAAAGACCCCTTCCATTTTGTCTTCCCGACCCCCTCTACTGCTCACAGAGAGACTCTTTTTCAATACTGCATTTTGTCATGGCAAATCACGAATATCACAATAACATTAGGTCAATGTGAGTTTTTACTGTCATTTTTTTATTCTCTCAGAGTAAATAATACAGATGCTCATGTAGGTAAACATTTCAATCAAGCTAAAATAGAAAACTAGCAAAAAAAAAAAACATAAAAAGGCAAAGGCGTTTTTTATATATTTTTTATTTGATTCGATGTGAAACAGTTACCTGTCTGGAAGTCTGAACAACCACAAAAAATCTATCTAGGTATACAATAAAGTGAACTTGATTGCATGAACAACATTATGACGCATAGAAAATGGCAGCGCTGATAAACCAGCCGGGCATTTTTTTGCCAGACGTCACTTGTATGTTTGCTAACAGTATGTACACGAAGTAAACAAAAAAGTAATAATTTCATCAACTTTATACTCCGTTATTTGTGTACGAAACCAGCATAAAATACTTTTGTAGTTGTTATCGTTTTGTTGTTGCCGTTGTTGCTTTGTTTTTGTTGTAGATTTGTTTTTTTTTGTTTTTTTTTGCGGCACGGACACGTTGAACTAGAGCTTACAATATATTCGAGTGCTTTATGATGAGACGAAAGAGGTTTGTATTATTTTTCATAGCGTTTTTATCAAAGAAGGCGGCCCTGGTTAAATATTTTAAGCACCAAGATTGGGGTAAGTGTACTGTAGACCAGTAAGAATAAATATAAATTATCTCCGGTTTCTGTTGTTCTTCTTTCAATTTAATCTCAACTGAAAATTTGCCATCACACCGGTCACTATAGAGCTCATGTAGCGCGGACCGTAGACGCCTCTTGATTCGGGATTTGTTCTTGGGAGTTCTTATTAGCTGAGGCCACTGTCTCATCGGTTGCGGAACGATAATAATTAGCTCAAAACTTTCCACGCTTTCTGTCTTTTTTTAATCTTTGAAGTGAATATATACTTGGAATTTGCTCTTCCTTGTCACACCTAATAAAAATTGTCTGCGGTACTATCCTATCTTCGCAAAATTAAATATAAACACGTTGAGTTCACACGAAAGGTGTCGCCCAGTATCTATAATTCATCAACCCATGCTTTTGTATTCACAAGAAAAAAAAAAACAATAGAAAACTTCCAGAAAAAAAGAAAAAGAAAGACCGCCGGTGCTCGTCGGTGCAAAATGTTTCCGCTCCAGAACTTATGATAAGTTGGACTGCTTGGAGAAGATATGGGTTCGAAAAAAAAAATGTTATCGCTCCAACACTTATGATAAATTGGACTGCTTGGCGAAGGTCTAGCTCCCCAAAAAATGTTATCGCTTCAACACTTATGATAAATTGAACCTTGCTTGGCGAATTTCTAGGCTCCAACGGTCGAGATAAATGGAATGCGCGGTACTCTATCAATTGTCAACTGGATCGAATCATGTTTTCTCGCTTTTGTCACGATATTCCCGATGGGGGAAGTTATGATCGCTCGCTTTTTATCGGTATCAATTTTCGTGGAACGTTATCTTATGACTAGGATTGTATTCGATTGAATCCTATTTTCAAACTCGTAAATGGTTCGACAGGCGAAGGCAAGTTCAACTCACAGTCGGCAGTCTGAACGTGACTGATCATGTACCCAGCCTGTTTTAACCCTTTAAGCTTCTGGTAGCTTCTATCTTTCAACCTAGCCCATCATACATAAAACATAATCGAATGCGATGGAGTCCATGCTCTAATTCGACATGTCTGGCCAACGGTGCGAGTCAGTGGGACGAATCATTAAACACCACCTGCACCTAGTCGAAGCATTTATTGTCTATCTATAAGCACCTGCTACTTCTCGATAATCAAAGCACATCGAATCAATACGCCTAGACAATGCGCTCTTATTCTTCGTGTTATACTGGATTTCGAGTGTGCTCTGACATTAGGTGAAACAGAATGTTCAATGTTTAATGTTTACTTTTTTCGTGCTTACCAGATGCCCAAATGCTTTTGCGGTAAAACACAGAACATAAGCTAAATACTCACCACAAATATTCATGCTCAAGAGTTCTGCCCAAGCTTAAAATCACACAAAAACTTAGAAAAAAGGGAAAATTTCTTAAAAAGAATAAATAAATAAATGTTGTAAAACTTTGTGTTTAAAACTTGTTGAATTCGTCATACCGGTGAGAAATGTTGATGAACATCTGGGTAAATACTTTACGATTTCTCGAGCTTGTGTGAACAGAAATACGGAATATAGAGCGGCGAAACTCCCTCAGATGTCGGTCGGTCAGAAGCGAAAATAGAAGAGGCTGATTGCTTTCGATTATGTCACCGTTCAAGTGTCCTTTCGCGTTTTTCAATCACAGTGGCGCCATCCAGCCAGTAAGCAAAGTTGAAAGAAGTGTAACGTGAAAACACTTGATGGTATTCACATTAAAAAGTGCAGTCCTGTTTTGTAAAGTAAATAAATAAATAAGTATATAAATTAGTGTCAAACAATCCTTCCACTTGAAAGCTACGCGGAGCGCAAGTTCGTCTGCTTCTTTTGCAGGGGTTGTGGTGACGTCAGAACGACGGCACGCTCTGATTGGCTCCGATTTCAGGATAATGGGTAGGCAGCTAGAACATTGAAGTTCATCCAATTTTCTTGAATCAGAGCCAATAAAAGCTCGGCGTTCTGACGTCACCACAACCCCTGCCAAAAAGAAGAACTTGCTCGCCGCATAGCTTTCCCTTCATGGTACACTGGCAGCCTGCGTTTACTCAGATATCTTCTTCACATCTCCACACAATCCCACCTCCACGCGTGTTTGCCCCGAACAGAAGCCTTTGTCACCGAAAGAAGGAAACGATACATGTTACTCCTTACTTGCAAATAAAAGGAACGCGTTACCACCCTCCGTTACATCAAACATTATAATTTTGATTTAACACGTTTTACTGCTTTGATTCCACAGGTAAGCATAAGCGCCACATTTCAAGAAATATTATTTCCAGGCAGAAATTGAACATCATTACCTTATCTTTTTTACGGTTTCACATAAATTGTAAAATCAGACAAAAAAAATTACATGGCTTGGCGTCCAGAACACGAAACAAATTGGTGTAATTTTTTAAGTCTTGGAAAGAAAAAAAGTGACGAGCACGGTGCCTGTTACTCAAAATAGGTAACTAAGCCCATTACCCACCATTGGTTTCAACACGTGGCGCATACGTACGTTACGCGTTCCAAACAAGGTATACCGGTAACGCCGTTACTGGTAACGCGTTACCGCCAACACTGTGCAGCTTCAGAAATGCTGGTCATGGCTGCTATGTTCCAGGGTGGAGAATTAATATCAAGGTGATTTAGGTCGTGATTGTAATAATGATTTCAATCGTAATTTCAATCATACGAATTTTACTATGATGGTTTAAATTAAACCTTTCTTGCAGATACAATCACGAAAACAGTTTCAATTTAACGTTCGTCAATCATCTGATGCTTTCTATGGGCATATGTTTTGTTTGATATCAGACATGGAACTTTCTTTTTAAGCGAAACATTTCGTTTTTCAGTTACGTGATGTTCTGTTGCAAGCTAAGCAGAATGCGCCAGAAACGAGAACCAGAAGAGTAATGTCTTATTGAGTGCATATCAGAACGCCAAAGAAAAAAACAAATGAAGCTTTTTAGCTTACTAAAATATGAAGCTGGTTTTGTTAAATACATGGCGGGGTTTACATCATTAAAATGTTGTTAATTAAAGTGTACTTTAAAATTGTAGTAGCAATATATCTTCCGCACTGTTATCAGTGATCGGGCGGATTGATAAATCTATCTGCCATGTTTAAAAAAGCAGCTAATGATAAAGTAACTATTTTCCAGGTAAAGTGATTTAACTCAAATTAATCTTATTTACATCAAACAAATTTAATTTAAATAAAAAACATCTGATTTAAATCACATAAATTTGATATAAACTAAATTAATCTACCTCCCTGATTTTTTTAAAAATCATTATATATTTTTTGGCCCTGCTATGTTTATTTTTCATTCTTGGTGGTTCGTTGTTCGGCACTGTTTTAAGTTGATGCAGCAAATGACGTGGCTTCGGAGAGCAACACCAAGATGCTTGGGAATATGAATAATCTGTGACTATGCATATTTCGTACCGCAATCAGGGTTCGAGTGAAGAGGCACGTGAATTAGTAACACAAAATGAATCATGTTGAGCTACTTACGGTCCCTTCAGGGTTGAGGCTCAGTGTGGTGTCTTTTTTCTCGCCTTTGTCTTGAGATAACCGACGAACGTCCTGAAATAAAGTTTGACAGGACTCAGAATGGAAAAATGTTCTAATTAAATATTACAATCGTTAACATAATTCTTATTTAAAAAGAAGCTTCCCGAATAAAAAGTCAGGGCGCAAGCGAACTGGTGGAGGTTGCTAGAGGTAACTCAACATTTCGGAGCAACCCGCGAGAGAGAGAGAAAACACAAAAGTCGACAACAAGAGAAAAGAAGAACAACGACTCAAACACAGCTAAAATTTTAGTGCGGACAGATCCTTTATATGAGGGTTGAACAAACTGAAAGAAAAGGTAAAGAGCCTTTCCCACCTGTGACTCTTTTTGCTTCCGCTTAATAAGGTTGTATCAAAGAACTCAGGGAGAAATATATCATATCTGTTTCCGATGTGGTTTATAAGATACCTTTTGATTGTGTGGTTATGCCACATAGGCCAAACAAAACGTTATATTAATGATAGGCTGGGCGAACATAAACGATATGTCCAAAAACAGAGACCAGTATACAAAATTTCTAAGCACATTCAGGGGTGTAATAATTGCCTGTCGTTATGGAACTCAGCAACCACAATACTGCCAGAAAGAAACAATCCCAAACTCCTGTTAAAAGAATCAATCGCGATTACCAAACATGGAAATGCTGTAAATAAGCCTCATTGTCTTTGGAAGCAGAAAATAAGCGTTTTCGGAATCTCTAGTTTTTATAGACTGTGTGTGTGTGTGTGTGCGTGCGCACTTGTTCTAGATGGTTCTTTAAGGATTTTGTGAGGTAATCTCATGACGTCTTTCATCCAAGGTCTTAGGTATGCCCCCGCTGGCCTCGTTCCCCCAGTGTTATCCACGCTATCGTCCCCTAAGGTGTGAAGGGTCAGACGTAGTTTCATTCCTTTGTTTGAAACGAGATTGGTGTGAGTGGGAAAGGGTGTTTCTCATCCTTTTAGTTTGTTCAACCCTTTTATAAAGGGTTCTCTCCGCAATAAAATTTTAGCTGTGTTTCACACGTTTTCCTTCTCTTCTCTGTGTCAACTTCCGCATTTCCTCATTCTTGGATTGCTTCAGAATGTTCTGTACATACCGGCTCATTTGTGCCCTTACCTTCTGTTTGTAGGCCAACCCCGAGACTGCAGGAAACAATACCGACACGAACACACAAGGTATCTTTGTATGTTCATGGCGTTATTGCTTCCTGCATTCGCAAGGTTGAATTATGTCTAAAAGCTTGCTGAATTTTCGCGATGGATTTTAGTAGGGGGCGATTTTTACGTTAAGATAAGTAACTGGAGAGAAGCTAGCCGTACAAAAGCTTACTCACTTTTGGCGGACCCAAACAGAAGCTCAATTTTTTTTTTTTTTTATTTGTTGAAAAGACGGACAAAAGTTTACTCGGGGTAAAATGGGCTGGGTTAAACTGCTGGCTCAACGGGGTTACGTCAACAGCCCTCTAAAAAGTACAAGGTGTCACCTTCCAAAAAAGAAATATAAAAGTTTTTTGTTTTTTTTTTCAGTGCGAAAATGAACTACGCATTGGACGCTCATTTTTCATACAAATGTGGCGCTAGAAATCCGAACCAGATGCCAAAGTTTCTGCACTAACTGTTATCTTATTCAAATGTTAGAAGTCATTTTTTCAAAGTTTCAATGGGGAAATGGAGGCCTACGGAGCACCCGTATACATGGAGCTCTATAGCGCCAGGAACCGAAAACAGGCGAAAATGGCCCCCATTTTCCCATTGAAAATTTCAGAAAAGTACTTATAACTTTTGAATGAGATATCGCTTTGTGCTGAAACTTTGGCATCAATTGCGAACCTATAGCGCTACATTTTGGCGGAAAATGAGCGTTCGGCATTGCATAGTTGATTTTTTACGTTAAAAATCAACTAGGGGGGGGGGGGGGGGGAGGGGTTACACCTTTTGCATTCTTTGAACCCGGTCAACTCAAAACCAAGGTCAAACTTTTAGAGTATGTCCTGGGATTTTTTCTAGGAGTGGATCACTCAGGATGACCGTGCTCCGACGACGACCGGAATTTACTCCGGAGCTGGGGAATGTACACAAAGCCACGCTAAGAGACGAGGACAGGACCAATAACTCGTGCGAAGGTAAATCAACGAGGTCCACAAGCTTGTGGCACAGGATCATACAAATGTCTGGAGGCTGATCGAATGTTTTCAACAGGATAAAGCGTAGGTCTCTTTAGCTTTCCTGCAGGCACGACAAGGTGAACTCTCGGTGAAGAGTTTTCGGAAAGCAACGAAGCGTCTTCAGAACCGCATGAGGGAGCTGACTGTGGACTATCAGCTTCAGAGAGACTTGCCGAAACTGCTGGAGGCAGTGGGAGGTTGTAGTAACCTTCAAAGAATTGAGCAATAAACATTCTTTTCTTAAATAAGAAAACTACCATGTCCTTGCGCGAGTCATACGTACTTTTATATTGAATGCTCTTCGCAGGCACGTAGCCAGGGGGGTGGGGGGACATGGGCCCCCCCCCCCCCCCCCGAAATCTTACATTTTGCTGGGGCCTCCTCTCCCCCTCCCCTTCATACAGCATTTTGTCATGGGCGCCCCCCCCCCCCCCCCCCCCCCAAAGAAAATCCTGGCTACATGCCTGGCTCTTCGTAATTTGTCATGTTATTTGAGCGCACGTACAAAACCAAACAATTTTACTCTGGTGATCTTTTGTCCGAGTTCACGAGTAAGAGCGGCGAGCTTCTTTCCGGGTCTGTGAAAAATCCGGTGAGCTTTTGTCCGGTGAGCTCCTGTCCTGGATTCGGGTTTGGGTGTAACCAAGCATGGATAAAAGATCAATGGAATTAATTTTAGAGTAGCCCGCACTAGTCGACGTGCCAGCTTCCGAACGCAGTTGGTTCTCTACTTATGAGCTAGAATCCACTACACGTTATCTTGGACATTTTCTCACGTTCTTGAAGCCTAATCAGGAATAAGTTAAGCTGAGTAACCAATTTTTAATTAGAACATTTCAAATGAAAGTGCGAAAAAAAAAACGGACTATTTGACTTTTACCGCACATCAGTCACCTGTCCAGAATCAGGGCTCGGTTGGTATCGAAACTGTGATTTGAGATGACAGGCTGCCCATGGGCTAAATCGACTGAGGATCATATCCTCCGCGTTTTGCCATGCAAACTAGAGCCACTGACAGGTTAAGTAACGAAGGGTGTGGCATTTCATGTACAAGTCTCTTGCCTCGTGGTTTGTTCTTCGACGATCTCATCTGCTCTGATCACAATCTTATTGGCTCTATATTAAAACGTTCAGAACTCGCCGCGCCCTTAGTTTCCTTACTTGGCGGTGACGGGAGCAAGGTAGTGCTGTTGGGCAGATATACGTCATATTTTCTTTCTACGTCTTGTCGGTCTCCGATGTATCTACCCGTATCAAGTATCTGTGCCAAGAACGGAGCCATCAATTGTCTTCGCATATCTAGTGTCACGTGATTTGAATGACACTGACGTGCTTCCTTACCTCTGCCTCATTCTTTTCATTTCCTCATGTTTTTTTTTCGTTTTTGCCATTGATATGTCTTATCCGATATGTCCTATCAGGAAAATTGCCCATGTTGCGGTTGCTACTCATGCACCCTTTTAATACTATCTTCAGTAGTTGTATCCGACACGCGGATACTTGGGATAAAGCTATCAGGCGTCATTATGCTTGTAGGATCTTTGCTTCGTAGAGTAAGCGATTTTCGAGTACCATGAGCGATTTTCAAGTACCACAAGCGACTTGCATGAACGTACCCGCCATGTGTACGTTCTCAAAGTTTGTTTACTGTAAGATACCTTTTGAATTTGAGTAAAAGTAAATAAAAAATTGAAAACAAAATTCCTGAAAACAGTTAGTGTTTTAATAACTTTGCTTTAAATTGGCATTGAAATAAAAAAAAATCGAAAGGCCTAAATAGGACAAGAGGATCACAAAAAGAATGTTTTGGAGAATATTTAGAGCAGTATTTAAGGCACGAGAGTCATTTCAGTGATTTCAAAACATGCCGCTATTTCGGCATGAACTGCTAAAAATGTAAGCAAGTTTCAAAATCGTTTCAAATTTCAAATGTGTCTGAACACGACAATACAGCGCTATAAAGTTTCGTTTTAATGGAAGTTCCTTTTATGGCAGCTCCTTTTAAGTAAGTTCCTTTTGTGGCTATTTCATACTCTCGCCGACGTCCCTAGGGTCCACTCAGAATTGATCAGTGTGCTCAATTCTCTCTAACTATTACCGTCTCGGTAGCACCTCACTAATGAAACCAATTATTGGGCTTCCGGGCTTGATAATTTGAATAAACTTTCGCGTGTTTTTTTTTTTTACAAAACTTTTCTTTTTTTTGTAACCGATTATTGCATTCTTTCACAGCATCCATGCCTTTTATCCCGAATTAAACACAAGTTGCCGCTCCTTACTACACCACAAATGTATTTTCGATTTTATTCTTCCCCCTTTATCACCTCCGTTGAAGACCTCTCATCCTTCAAGACCGCCAGAACCAACCACTTCGCTGAGCCTGCACTTCGTTGATTTTTAACATCGCTGCTCTCTCAACAGTGCGGTTTTCTTTTTTCTGTTTAATTTTAACACTCTGCAGGCATCCTTTCCATAATAACCATAAAGCCCCTGCGGGTATATAAATAAATAAACAGATAAAAAAAGTTCTGTGACGTCATTGTAGCGCCTTTATGCGAGCTTAGGGGTCAGCAAGGGTCATGGACGACACCGATGACGTTACTTTCGCTAAATTTGCTTTCCTGTACTCCTCTGAGCTCGGCACGCAGCAGTGGGCGGAGCAACGTCGAAACTTTACTTGCCGATTACGTCGCGTTTAGTAATGAAGTAAAAACAAACAAAAAAAATCTTTTGACATAGGATTTTTAAGTTGCCTACGATAGTTTTCTAAATGTGTTTTAGAGTTTATTTTTTTTCTTATTTTTTTTCTGGGTTTATAAACTTGTTTATTTTCCCATGCAGTTCGAATTCCAATCCCCCAACATG